CCCTGCGGTAGTCATCTTCTAATTGGGGTTTTAAAGAAGACATATTGAAAACCGTAGCATCGTGCGTTGCCCCAGGATATCTTGCATTGATGTAACGAATCCTCAGAGCGTTATCACAGACCTGTAAATGAACATATTTAAATAATACTTTCATTTAATATTTTACCTAAATACTTACTATCATCGCGTTTAAGCTAAAGTACCCTTTTCGGTTATAGTAAAGGTGTTGAAGATCCTTTTTTGGGGCAACGATTTTAATATGTGTCCCATCAATGCAACCTATTACGCCTGGAATTCCACTTTTCTCAAAAAAATACATTTTCGCCCTTCGTTTCTCTTCATCAGTGTAATTCATTTTTATCCAATTTTTACACACGTGCTCTTCCAAAGCATGAAACATTTCTGTCAAAACCAGGGAAACAGTAGATTGGCCAAGTCCAATATTACTATCGTTTCCTACACTCAGTTGGTAGGATCCCTGAGCACAGAATCTTAAAGTCGCTGCTAGTTTTAAAATTAGTGGTATCGAGGTTTTTCTTACACCAGCTTGTAGTTTGCTTTCCAATGTTTCAAGCAAATATGTAAATGCAGCTTTCGGCCAACGATAATTTTTCAAAAACCTGTAAAGTTGGTTGTTTAGTAAATTTCTTGGGAAATGTTTAGTTATTTGTACTATGATTTTGTGGCGTGCAGCGAAGGGGAAGGGGTGTGGCACCTAAAACCCCATCCATTAGAAAGAGCACAATCCAAACTATAAGACAAGTCATCCTTCCCCTCTCTGACCCTTCTACAGACCCCGGGCCCATTTCAAAATGGGGTAAAATTAGCACTTCCACATCGAAAATGTAAACTCACTGACCACAGTATTTTTGCGCACAACTTCTTTTTGCTTAGGCGTTTACGGATTATAACCTTTAACAAGTAGAATTCTCCTTTCTGTCTTCCCAGAGAAGAGGGGCGGAAGCTCCGCTTCTATTGTGAAAGATATTCAACATTTCTTGTGCATATAACTCCGGCTACGCCATCCAGTGTTTTTGCGCAGAACTAACATCAAAATTTACGAAAAACTGCATAATTTATTAATATACTAGTACTCAGAAATTTGAAATCTTTATTTTAAATTAAAGTTTAATTCTTTCACTACACGCGTATGTTAAAGTTTTTAAATCGGGTCAGGCGTTTGGACACAAATACCCAAAATCATTGTACAAATAACTTAACTGTACCGAATTGCTTAAACTAGTTGCGTTCCAGATGCTTCACGATTTGCGGGTTTTTACAGGAAGTTGTTCCACGGGGCCACCTTCCATAAGGTTTATTAATGGCGAAAACAGCTTTTCCTGCAAATCG